AAAATTTTTTGCCAAGCTTACTAGGAACGTCTAGTGTCACACACTCAGATCGTGTTTTGTATTCACTTCCTGTCAAAAGAGGGGGACTAGGTGTACGAAATCCAACAGAAGGTGCCGAACTAGCATTTTCCACTTCACGTGAAGCAACCGACTGTCTCGTGAGTTCGATCCTTCACCAAGATGATTTCGAACAAACTCTACACAAAACAAAGATGAGAGAAGCAAGAAAAAATCACGAGGAGAAACAAAATGCTGTGGACAAAGATAAACTCGATGAATTGCTTGCAGTTTTACCAGCAGATCAGAAACGAGCGATCCGGAGAATAATCGACAACAACTGTTCCTTGTGGCTAACTTCGCTGCCCTTGTTGAAAGATAATTTTGATTTGTCAGCCACAGAGTTCAGAGACGCTCTATGTGTCAGGTACAGAAAACCACTCAAACGTTCTTTCTCGAGATGCGATGAATGTCAACAATATTTTGACTTACAGCATGCACTTTCTTGCAAGAAGGGCGGACTGGTAACACTACGACACAACGAAATAAGAGACGCAGTGGGCGATCTTGCTTCAATTTTGTGGAAAGATGTGAAAAGAGAACCTGTCGTAAAAGAACCAGATATAGAAAATGGAACCCCGGCACTAATTGCAGATCTTTCAGCTCGTGGGGTTTGGGATAGACAGTCGGCTGCGTCGTTCGACATCCGTGTTACAGACACTGACGCTCCGTCTTACCAAAACCGCAATCCCATGAATGTACTGAAAACTGCAGAGATTGAAAAGAAAAATAAGTATGGACCGGCTTGTGAAGAAAAGCACATGTCTTTCACTCCACTTGTCACTTCAATAGATGGTGTTTTGGCACCGAGGTTCACGTTTTTCCTCAAACGACTAGCAGATGGTCTGGCATCAAAATGGGACCGCCCATATAGTCATGTCATGTGCTGGGTGAGATGTAGAATTTCATTGGCTATACTAAGAGCAACCAACATTTGCATCAGAGGCACAAGATCCAAATGGCGATCCCTCGGCGTTGAGGACGGTTACACAATTGGAATGGCATTCTAAAAATTCACACGCTGTTAACTGGGGCTTTCATCGCGCATAACTGACTCCTATGATATTAGAATTTCGTCACCATTTGCATAATATTTCGAAGAATATGAGATGTTTGAAGATAAAAACACAGGATGACAACTGTGAACAAGCAACGAAAAACAAGCACCATTCGAAACCAATTTATTTTGATTTGATGATTTAAATTTAGATATTAAGAAGTTTTCAATTGTTAAACAACTGTTCCAATGATTCTTTTTTTTTCACGTAACTGTTCAAAAATGATAAGTGTTGACGGCGTATGGGGTCATAAATTTGAGTATGTAAACGGGTATTTCAATGACTTTTACACCAAAAACTAGTTATTTGCGACATGAAAACCAACTAATCAAAATTAAATATGGTGAACTTGAGATAAACTCCTCTCAACTAATTACCAACTAAAATCACAAAATTTTGTTTTCTTCAAAATGAAAAGAAGTAATAAATTAAAAAGCAAGCAAAAAGTTCATGATTTCAAGGTTTGAGTTTTCTTAAAAAAAATAAAATATTTTGCAAGTTTCCAGAATAAATGGCTTAAAATTGGCGAGTTCCTTTGAAAAAAAGCACCAAACTACCATTGACAGCTTTGTTTCGGTAATTTTTTTTCAAAGCCTAATTTCGTTAATTTCTTGTTAATCATATTTGAAACACTTCGTCACACAGGTCAAAAATAAAAATTTTCAGAAAGATCAGGAAACTGATAAAAAGATCAACCATAAAATTTTGGGTTTTTTGAAGTTCAACCTTGTGATTTATCGGTCGCAAATAGTATCGAATTTAGGTTCTTTCACTACCCAATTGTACTTGCACGCGTTTTTTGCGTCATTTTTGCTTTTTGTTTGAGCCTGTGAATATCATGATTGAGCACTAATTAAAACTGGAAATATAAAAAAAACCTTTGAGAGTGAGATAGAAGAGAATGATTGACTAAAATTAAGTTATCATAACAATTTTTCATGTTAATCTGGACAATGATGAGGACTATTATATTTTGATTGGATCATTTGTTTTCTTATTTTCATTTTATTATAATCAGCTCAAATTTTAAAGGATTTTTTTTGCTTTGTTTTTTGGCATGGTGAAAAAAATTGAGCATGAATGCAATGAGTTAAACAGACAGCTTGCAAATTGTTGCGAAAGTGTTCTGACCGTAAGTTCTACTCGAATTTCTTGTCCAACCCCCATATGCAAACAGGTGTCTTTTTTTCGTACTTTTTCACGACTTCCATTTTGACTGACTGAAACTAAAGCTTCCAAAAACTGCCTTTGACGCCAATATCTACTAATTGTGAGGTGTTTGAGCGCGCCAGAGAACGCTATTCTTGGTCAAAATTTTTCAAAGAAAGCCCCAAAACAAAAAATACATCATGATTTTGTGCCGATCCGACCGGATGACAATTGTCAAAAGTATTTTCAATTGATTCTATTTTTTCCACCTAATTGTTTGAAAAAAAATGTGTTGACGGCGTATGTGGTCATTAATTTGATTATGTTAACCGGTATTACAAAGATTTTACACCATAAACCAATTATTATAAAAAAATGGAAACCAACTAATCAAAATCAAAAATGGTGAGTTTGATAACAAGTTCCTCTCAAGTAGTTACGGTCTAAAATCACATAATTTTGTTTTATTCACAACCGAATGAATTTACAAAAAAGCAACCAAAAGGTTGATTCTGTAAAAGACATCTTCTGCAAACTTTTAAGTTTTCCTAGAAAAGCAAAAGATTTTGTAAAGTTTCCATAATAAATGACCTGAAAATGGAAAGAAAGCCTTAAAAATTCTTTATTTTTCTTTTAACCTTAGAAGTAAACTATTTCTAAATTGTTATGCTAAAGTCAGTTCAGTGCTCAAGCGCAACGAGATAAAACTTGATTCTACATACTTTGAGCGTACATAAAAATTGTAGCAGCACAAAGCAATTTCATCCTTATTATAACAAGTGTGAATTTGCATTAGATTGCTAAAAACAATAGTATTTCTGAGGTCATGTGATCTACAGGCTAACACGTACATCTAGCTTAAAGGTGCCCCACTAGGAGTTTTTTCTAAGCTGAAAATAGCCTGGATTAAGCTTATTGCTGATATCAGAAACTAGATGCGAAATAATGAGTTTCAAGTTTCGTGAAGGAAACTGTGACCAAAAACTTTTTTGATTATTTAGAAAAAAATGTGTGTACCTGTGATGTGATTTTGAGATCATTGGTGCTTTATACATAAAAAAGCAAAATTGATTGTAAAATGGCTGAATGTGGGAGAGAAATTTGTCTTTGGGAACTATTTATTCTTTTTTGTTTTAATTTTCAAAGCAAAACTAGGTACCAGAAACAAAATAGGTTAAGCGATACATCAATTAAACTTTCTCTCAATCGATATTTGAACGAAACCATAAAAACATCTCAGTATCTGGCAAAAAAACGGTTCCACATTTTTAATTTGGATGGATTCAAGCGAGCGAGCAAGTGTAATGATAGGATAAATAGATTTATATTAATGTATGAGAATTAAAGTTTTCTAGTTTTCTAATTTTTATTTAACGCTTTGTTGACATTAAAAAAGTTTTGAAAAAAATTCAAAAATTAATCTCCATTTTTGTTGAGAATTGCAGTTCAATACGGCTCTCTTGATACTGTTCTAAGCATTAATCTAGTTCCTCTCATCAAATCAAGCGCAAAAAAGAACAATGTGAAAAAAAAATTTAATTGTGGCCAGTAATTCTTTTGCATATAGGGTAATTAACTAGAACGATTGACAAATCGGACCACCGAATGCTTAGACTCAAACAAGTTTGATTTTCTAAACTTTTTTTGCAAGCCTATACTTTGAATGCGGTCATTTCAAAAACTTGTTCATGAAACAGTCCATTAATTTGAGATTATTTTTTTAAAGATGCGCCTTAAAGTGAAACTCCATAGTGTATTGCTGACTGCGCATAAGCTTTGCAGAGTCGCGTCATTGTTTTCAGAAGAAAAAAATTTCGTTTTGATACATCGTTCTTACTAATTGGCTCAATTTTTCCTTTGCTTTTAAAAGTGAGCTTTGTAGTTTGAGTTTTGCTTGCTAAAAAAAACTTGCTAAATAATATACTAAAAACTCCCTACTTTTAACTTAAAACAAGACTGTTCGTATATAAGGGCAAAATCTTGAATGTTTCGACTGCTCCTTAGTCCATATTGAATAGTTTTGAGGGAAAAAAATGAAAAACTATAAATTTTGTGATTAAGTGGGAAAAAATGAGTTCGTTGTAGGAAACTAATGTGACCAATTAGCTAGCCTCAATTTAATTGGGAGTGATTTTGTTGTGCGTATATTAATTTGCGTTACACTTTCAGCGTTATGAGAAAAATTTTCAAAGCGGGCATCATTTAGTCCAGACAGGGCAACTTGGCAATTTTCAAATTACCAGAACTTGCAAAAAAATATTATACTTTGTCTTAAATTTGATTTCAAGGAGCCAATATTTTCGATTGGGTATAAAAAAATTTTCTTAACGATTTTCAATTCGATCGTCGAACCACCCATACATAAAAACTTCGTTTTCTGTGAAACTCAAACATAAACCTTTGAAAATTATATTTTTTTTGTAATCGAAAAAAAGGGGGCGCCGTTTCTATATAAGCCAGTGTATAGCTACTGATTGATGGATAGGTGAGAAGCTGTAGCGACAAACCTTATAAAATTATATCAATCATATGGACTTACATGTTGCTCGTTAGAAATCACTAAGCTGCTGCACTTAAGCTAAATAAAATTGTCCTTTTAAGATTTTTCATCATATTTGTTTTTGAAAATCGATCTTTTTTAATAAAGCAGATTCAGCTAAAGAAGGATTCACTGGATTTTGAAACGAGGAAGTTTAGTCACCTTAAATTGAACTTGAACTGAACTTGAATTAATCGTCAATAAACTAACTTTCGATCCAAATAAAACTGGTGGGCATCAATCATATGACTGTATTTCCTGACACCGTGAACAGTTAAATGTATTTCAGGGTCATTTCTATCTCTGTAATATTTATTACCAGTCATCACAGCCGATCTATACTGAATATTGATCAAAGTCGTATCATTTCGTCTCGTGAACCAAACGCATGATCCGACAAACGTGTCTTCAAACTTCCACAAACACGGTTTTTCTTCGTTTTCTTCTGCTTTCTTTGGATCCAAACCTATGCATGTATAAGGACAATCTCTAGCGAGGTCGATTACAGAGCCCATTGAAAACATGTAAAATGGACCCCCACAATACGGTGGGTATGAATTCTCGCTGTATTCTTGTAGCGTTAACTGCCACGAGTTTTTGATTTTTTTATCCGGATCCGGTCTTTGGACTTTATTTGAACCGCAACCACCCATGTATAATCGGGCCGGTAAAGCGTATTTTTCGACTCTTGTTTGTTTCTCGTTTTGTAATTTTAAACGCGAATTCAATGCATTCTGCTCATCAATGATAACTTTATCCAAATGTTTTAACCTCAAATAATCATCGTCGTCAATTTTTATAAAATATTCGGCGTTTGAGCAAAAACAAGATGCAAATTTCAGTCCAATTAGAATTTTTAAAGTCGTGTTATAATAACCTTCGGGAACTTTGGCAATAATAATGTCGTTGTATTTCTCATTCTCGTCGAGAACCATTTGCTCTTCGGTTTTATTACTCGGCATTCCGACTAGAAAAAACACAGTATAACTTCCTTTTAAGGAAGAATTTTTAAACGAGGAAAGATTGCCGTAAGTTTCTCGAATAGCGTTTCGTAAATCGCTTCTTGCAATTCGATTTAAGATTTGAATTACCCGTAAATTTTTAACCTTTGGGTCGCAAATTGAATTTGAGGCAGATAGCGCATGCAAAGGATCTTCTGACTTCGGAAGTAAATGAATCGGAGCTTTCGGATGAGATTTTATTTCCGAATCATAGTTCTGCATACATTGCGAAAAAATATCTTTATCGTTGCTTTTTTCCTTCAAATAATTCAGGTTCTCAAGAAAGGATTCATCATTCGATAATTTTGAGAACTGTAAGGACTCCGTTTCAAGTTTCCGGCGGTTATTCGTCAATAAATTAAGTAGGAATATTATAAAAAACAAAACAATAAAGCACTTAAACTTGCGCAGTTTTCTAACAAACATAGAAATCATTTTCGTTGAACTTCAAAATTGTATTCTCAACTCCTTCTGATTTTTGTTCGTGTCATCTGTCTGAAGCCACAGGAAAACGCATAATTGTTATCATAATTTTCAGTCTAAGCAAAACATGCGTTTTTAACAAAAGTCAATGGATTCATTATTTTGCAATCGCTCAGTTCCGTTTTTTAATTATTCAGTTCTGTTTTGTAATTGCTCAGTTCCGTTTTTTAATTATTCAGTTCCGTTTTTTAATCTTACAAGAAACCTATTTTGTTAAAAAATATTCTGCACCAAAAGCAAATTTAAAAAAAACAGTCAAAATGACGTTGTGAGCACTTTTTAGAAAAAATTGACAACATAATTGCATATTTTTAGCGCGCACTTCCCCGGCGATAGTTATAGTGGCGATATTTTCCAGCCAAAAAGAGATCTCATAAAAATATATCAAATGGGTGACCATTTGGAAAAATTGGGCAACTAGAGTTGAGAAGAGCGGTCTATTGACATCCCCCCATCCCTTCCTCCAGCACGCTACTGCTGAAAACGCATCATCAAGAACTTAGTTACTTCTTTACTCAAGCTACTGTTGATGGAATCTTGAAAAATCGTAAAATCTTACAAGCTAACGCGTGTTAAAAAGATTTGATCATAGTTTCACAATTCATTTACCTTTGATTCTTTTCTACATTGTGGATAAAACTGAGCACAAAATCAGGTTTATGCATTCTGAAAAATCTGTTTTTGATGTCGATTTTCAACTACATTACTTCAATTTTAAGCGGAATTCTTAGATAGAGCGATAGAGCAAGAGCAAATGATAGAAGCTACCCTCTATGCATTTATCAAAATTTGGTTTCAAAGACTTACCAATGTAATCCGGGCTGAATATACCAGATTTCCTCATATGCACAAATTTTTCAATCCGCGTAAAAAAGTAAATAACAGCCAAGTTTTTCAAAAACTTCACACTGACTATTTCACTTTCGCGCTAAGAATGTTTCACGTCGCATGAACAAGTGTTTCACTCCATTTGTTCGAGGAAGAGTTCACTGCGATGTAAAAATTTGCGCAAATGAGGATATTTGGCATTGTCAGACCAAAGTTCCCTTGGGAATTTTTTGAAACCATTTATTCCTAGTTTCATAGAGGTTAGCTTTAAGCGTCTGCTCTAGCTCATTGTAAAAATGTTACTGAAAATTTGAGTAGTGGACAAAAATGGACAAAAAAAAACGCAAATTCACTTTTTTACTCTCTAAAATGCCTGTTTACAATGTCCAAATAGGGTACCATTTCCTAAGTTTTCTGCAAAACTCTCACATAGAGCAAGAGCAAATGATCAGAGCTACCCTTTATAAAACATTCATTTTTTAGCTTCACAAGCTTACCGAGGTAGTCCGGGTCTGAAACTGTCAGATACTCTTGAGTGCAAGTTTTTCAATCCTCGTGGAAAATTAAGTAACAGTCGACTTCAGTAAAATTTTCACACCGATTAATGAATTTTATCGCTGAGAACTTTTCACTTCGCATGAACAATTTTTTCACAGCTTATTCGAGAAAGAATTCACTACGATGCAAAAAGTAGTGCAGATGAGGAAATCTGACCTTTTCAGACCCGGATTATGTCTTTGAAGCTAAATACTGATAGTTTTACAGAGGGTAATTTTGATCAGTTGCTCTTGGTATTTGTAAAAACTTTGCGAAGATTGAAGTAAATGTTGTCCAAAATGGACCTTCAAAACAAGTTTTTATAGAACAAAAAGATAAATGTTCGTCTTATTTTGGTCGAATAGTGTAAGCCTGAGTTTGCTTGTACGCTTGAAAACAATATGCTTTTTATTAATCGGGAAAGCCCAGTTTTGATCTGAAGAAATTTTTTTTATGGTTTGTCCTTTTGATTTTTCTATTTTACTGACCTTATAAATACAAGACTTTCCAGAACTGTAACTGAACTGTAACTCGCCTCTCTTAAATTAACCAATTTTGTAGAAGATTAGAATTAGGGTTGAGTTTTGGGTAGAATTCAATTTTTTTGCCGGTTAATCTGGGTATCCGCAAAACAATTGTTCCATTGATGAAAACATTTTTCGAAAATTTCAAAAATGGTTTTTAAGAGTCGATGAACGTACTGAAGACTCCTATGAAGGTCGTGACGGTTTTTTATTTTTTTTCTAGAAAGAATTCTAAAATTTGTTCAGGCTTAAAATTGATTTTTTTGCGGCTTGACTTTGGTTTTTAGGCTAATTGCTGGTTGTTAAAAGGATGGAACACTCCACTATTAAACAACAAAAAGTAAATGAAACCAAAAATGTAGTTAAATTCTAGTTTCAGAAAAGGTTTCACTTGCGAGATTTTAAGTGGAATAAAAAGTTTAACCATTTAAACGGCTTCTTTCAAATTAAATTAAGTACATCAAAAAAAATTGTCAATCATAATTGTTTTTAGAATTTTGAAAAAACTTTGACACCATCTTTTTTTATTGAACTCGTTGTCATTTTTCCTACTCTCTGCTGGCTATGTTTTGTTCACTTTTTAATGAACCAGTTTTCCTTCTAACCGGTAGTGTACCAAATAATCTAGTTTTCAAAAAGTTGTAATCTTTTCGATAACGTTTGATTTAAATGTGGAATTTTTTGGTCGTTATTTATGAACCCCAAAAAAATTAACTCATTTGTAGATGAAACTTATTGACAATCGGGGTTCTCAATAAAAGTTCAAACTCAAGGTGTAATATGGGCAAAAAATTTATAAAGATTGCAGCTAAAACTTTACAGGCTCTTGAAGCAAATAATCAAAACTACCCTCTCTGAAACCATCTGAATAAAAAAAAAACACTTTTTCGACAGCAGGCGTAGAAGGGTAGAGAGCACAGCCGTGTGTTACAAAAAATTGTCACACAAGACAATCCATTTTTTACTGAGAATGTTCAAAGTCTCATGAACATATTTTTCTACTCGCTGATATGAAAAAAAATCACGCTTATCGGAAACTTTACGGCAGATACGAAGAACTGGCGCTCTCAGACCCATATACAACTAATGGCATATGTGTATAACTAAAATATGTACATTCACAGGACATCAAAGTTGCAGATGTTGTAACCTTTTGACTTCTGTGAGCAAACGAAAACAAAATTTTTATTTAAATTTTTGTTGTTTTCTTAGCAACTATTTAATATGAAGGGCTCAAAATTCGTCAAATGGTAGCTAAAACCTTTTGGAAGGAGTTAGTGAAAGAGTAAAAAACCTTGTTTTGAAAGCTTTGAACTGCAAGTATATTGTTTCTAGTTTCCAAGAAGTTCTTGTTTGTTTTCAGAGTTACAATTTATGGGCTCAAATTATTTTATAGAAACATGATGGCTGCACTTACTATTTAGGACGCAGTAAAATTACAGACATGAAAAAGGAAAAAAATCACAAAGCGTCAAAAAAATTATCATATCTGTTTTGGCGATACAGACCTTGAAAAAAAATGGATAAACAACTGAGACAACATAATTGCTTGTGATAACCCTATGCAAGGATCGGGTCATCTTTCCGAAAAACTTGCTTGATCATTCTCCTACTAGGTTATTTTGATCATCAGCGCAAAAATATTCGTAAAGACTTTTGACGCCGGAACAAAAAAGTATTTCTGATTTTTATCTTTTATCTCTGGCGTTTTATGCGGCCTAAATAGCCAAAAATAGAAATCCCGCTTGTTTTGAAGGCGTTTCACTGAGAATATAATCATACTAATTTCCGAGGTGTTTTGTATTCAAACTGTGAGTTACAATTATTGGGCTAAAACAGTTTTTTGGGAATTTAATGAGCTGGACTTACTGTTTAGGCTGCAAAAAATGACGGACATGAAAATAAAAAAAAACTTAGTCCGGCGTCAAAAAAACTTCGTTTCTGTTTTGGCAATACAGACATCGAGAAGTCTTGGGCTTTTATACCAGAAAAATGCACAAAAGTTTGAGACAACATAACGACTATTGAAAACCCTATGCAAGGAACGGGTAAGTCATTTTTCCGAAAAAATTTGCTGAAACAGTTCTTTCATTAGCTTATTTCGATCATCAGAGCAAAGTTTTTCATAATTACTTGACAAGGTTTTGACACCGAAGCAAAAATATGAATTTCAAATTTCATCTCTGTCTTTTTACGCGGCCCAGATAATAAGTCGAACTCCCAATCAGTTTCCCAAATCACTAAATTCAGCAAATCAATTCAAGTTTCTTGTGTATTTTGCAAGGCCGTTTCTACAGCAAGAACACCTCTGAAACTAGTTATGATTAAACTTGCAACTTTACGGCTTTAAAACAATGTTTCTCAACTCTTAAGACTAATGCTCTCCAAATAATTAAACACAGTCTGTGTCAAACATTCAGCCTCATTTCATAACTATTAGCGGGAAAACAAAAAAGATGGAATAAATTAGCTTGTTTAAAGTCACATTAGAAATTGGTATAGTTAATGGAGTTACAGTAAGTTTTTTATCTCATTTAATTGTGCATAAGGAAAACTATAGCCTTTCCCTTCGGGACTTGGTTTTGTATTAACATAAATCAGTGGATGTCATCTGACCCAAGTATACTCACGGCGGTATGGTTGCACGAATGAGAAAACGGACACCTGGAGAAAAATACTGATGATTGTGTTGCATGAAAAAACGCAGGGCGCAAATTCAGGCTTTTAGTCTGTGATTTTTTTAAATCAAGGAACAGTTTTAAAAAATTTTCATTCAAAACAATCTTATCGATCGAGAAGAAATGGTTGGAGCTGCTGTCCTACGAGTCTACATTTTTTACAGGTCTGTTACAGGTCTGAATATCCAGTTTTGAAGGCGTGAAATAGCGAGTTTTTCATTTTAGTTTCAGAGGTGTTCTTGCTGTGGAAACATCCTCGCAAACTATACCACAAGTTTGAATTTACAGGTTCAAGCTGGTTATCTGGGAAGCTGATGAGATGGACTTATTGTTTTATTTGCCGAAAATCGTCAGACATGAATTGAAAAAAGTGTTTGGTTTGGCGAGACAACCATCAAGAGATTGTGTGCTCTTATACCAAAAAAAAACTGAACAACGATATAGTAAAT